CCATTCTGACATTCAGTTTGGAGTTCAGGAGATTGTCTTGACCAGGACCACACCCCTAAATGCATTGAAGCAACTGCCATGTGATTGGCTGACTAGATAATTGCATTAATGAGAAATTGAACAGGTGTTCCTAATAATCCTTTAGGTGAGTGTATATATAGACCGTTAATCATATTCTATGTATTCATGTACATGTACCTGTATGTACACAAGTGAATGGTATGCAAAATGGTTACTATTACACTACATAGTTTGATAAATAACTCTGAAAACTTTTTTTATTATTCCTGTGTATCACTATATTCCAGAAGTTTATCAATCTAAAACTTAATATCAAATAAATAAATATGCATAATTAAATAAATAAATGATTCCTTTGAGATTTGAGCTCCCCGGATTAACTGGAGAGACTCGATAAATAAGGAAAAGTAATCGCCAACTTATAATGAGCAGCAGATGGTCTAAGATGCATTTAAGTGGATTGAATTTTAGGGTCAGAAAGTTCCCTACGGGCTCTTTTGGAAATGAAATAAAAATCAGATTTTACCACGGAAAAACAAAATTAAAGCGTTGAAATATGTTCATGAACTGATATGCAGGGATTCTGCTGGCATATTTCAAACCCAACTATTGCAATTATAGTAATATTTATATGACTGTGTGGGCAGTCATAGAATGTAGGGCATAGTTTATTCTCATTATACTGCAACGAGGACCACGGTCGAATTTCTAGGTGTTATCAAGTGTATACCTAAGTGCTAAGGTAAAACGGCTGTGATTTAATAGTGTTTGAATAGGATACATTGCTTTTCCTTATGTGGCATTCAGTATTTTCTTTTAAATGGTATTGATTATCATCTTATATACTTTTCAAAAGCTCAATAATCATCCGCAATATTTAAGATTTTATTTTCAATTTTGCAATTTCCATATAAACTTTCATACGTAATTCATTCATATAATTGTTACTCTATAATTACTGTTTTAAAATTACAAGTAGAACTTATAAGTGCCCATAAAGCCCATTTGTTAAGCATGGTTTGAGAATTAAGGGCTGTAGCAGAACTCGAGCCGGGGTGGGGGTGGGGGTGGGGGGTTGTTCTTCTATCTGCCAAACAGAGGGGGCCCTACCTCAATCTGCCAGTGCTGATTGGACGAGCGGTTTCGAATCCAGTTTAACAGTTTAAGCCATTATTCAGCGCTGACTAGGGCGGTGTGACAAATGACAGTCTGCTTGTATGTGGACAGGGGATACCGTTTGCAGAACATCTCGCACTGAAGGATTACATTTGCAATTAGTATATTCTATTACTATTATCATTATTCGAGGAGATAACGAAGCTACGGAAAGACGGACTGCATGGACCGTGGTTGGATATTACAGTTTTAAATTGTTGTCCCTTACCATCTTTAGCACTTTTTTCCTTATAAAATTCAACGTCACTCATTTTTAAAAAATTTGATCAACTAAATCGGTACCTGGAGTGTCAATAGACAGATGGACAATAAGGGATGTTCACCTACCGTCTCGCAGAAGTAATAGAAGGCTGTATAGGCTGATGGGACGGCTTGTTGGAATACTTATGCGAAAGCAACTTGTATAAAGGTAAGCTATTTCAAATGGCAATTTAGAACAGCGCAGCAGTCACTTCTATTGAATAGGATCATGGCAGCATATCATGCAAACTAAAATTAGATCTGTCAGTCGTCTTTGCCGTTAATATGTGTACGCTAAGGCTTACACATCTTTTCTGGATTTCTTGCGCGATGCAGTAATAGGCTACCTTTTAAGAATCACTGTGCTACTGTCTTGCATTGCGATATTGTGCAACTGTCTGTGTTACTGTAGGTTTATTTTAATTTTATGTTTTGCATTTAAAATGCAGACATTTGATGAAGTATGTTATTTCTCACACTTGGTCTGGTAAATTTAAGTCAAACTTAACACGTCTTTGCATTTTATTTTTGCAGCTATTAAGTGATTTAGACTTCAATTTAAGCATGAAATAATGAAACCTCGGGGAAAACTACAGATATAAGAATCAGTGTAAGAGAAATTGCTCATAGATAGTAATCTAATCTCTACCACCGAAATGCCGATGAGTTATATTGTGCAAAGAAAAACAAATATATTTTTACTTGCACGTTAAAACTCGTGTGCCTGCATTTTCTAATTATTCTTTTTCGGTGTAATTTAATGCGGTACAGATTTTTTTATTTGCGGTTAGGGCATAAAAGATTAAATTTCTCTGGTGTTATTTACTGAAATGACAGATATAGAGGACGCGTGACTATAGGAGCAGACATGGGAAACGCGTGTAATATTTTTCTGCACGTACCTTTACCTGTTGAAGCACCATCATCCGGTTATGTAGTGCAATATGGCAGAGGCTACGAAGCGTTAAGTAGTTGCCTATTTCCTATCGCCACTTTTTTCACCTTCTCTCATTACAAAAAAATATAGTACATTGCTTTGCAATAATTCGCAATGACTCATACTCGCATACTGGCTAAATGCACGAAAATGCGCACATGACGACTGAACTGTTTAAACGGTTGCGCAAATTGAGTTCTGAAAAAAAAAGATTATTGCAGGGGCATATATTAATTTTCGGTTTACAATCAGTTAATTCGTCGCAGTATATCGATGCGTTATTTATGTAAAGACTTTTTATCCTTTTATATACGAAAGTTCTAGCTTCTTTTGGCTACTGTAGACCATGCAGTAGCTTCTGTAATTGCGTGGCAACGTTGATATTGAAGCCAATTGTCTTTTCTGTTTAACCCTATATATGACACACTGGTTAAATACCGTATTACTGTTTAAATTGGATCTAAATGAAATGTATATGCGTAAACTACAGTAATACTTCCTACTGCAACTGAACACATTTGTGCCCACCTGGATAAAGCAGCGATACACTGCGTACACTGAAGATACACTGTCATTCAAAATAATGTTAGCTGAAAAATGCAAACCCCTCCCCGTGGGTTTTGAGTTTCGATAGAGGGTGCTGTTGTTAGGTGTAATATGTACAAGTAGCGCAGACAGCATAACTTTCCACAGGGAAACCAGTACCACAACAGCACCTTGTCTTTCAGGTATTAGATAGAATTATACATCGTTCTTTGTTTAATAGCATAACTTTTCACTCTAAATAAATAATATATTATATATAAATAAATATATTTATATACTAGCTTTGAATTTCTATTGATGATGTTTTTGATGGTATTAGTAATTACTGGACATGATCCTGCATTCACTCTTGTTTTTTAGTTCTTTGCATTCATAGTTAAAAATAATTTTCAACAGACACAGGTCTTGGTAATGTTAGTCATATGGGACATGTATCACTATGGTAAAATAACATCAGAAAGGCAAATGTTTCTCATGTGCAACAAAATTGACTTGGAATATATTTGTACGTCTCATAGTTTACTTGTTACACATTAAGAAAGTAACAAAACCACAAAGCAGTATAAACAGGCAATACAAAGAATCCCAATGTCTTCCCATGAGTCCCTTAACAAAAAAGTAATAAGAACATGTGATATTACAAACAAAGGTAAGTGCCAGAGGTAAGATCACAGTTTGTGAATACCTCCCTGAAACATCAGACAAAGAAAGGCCAAAGAATTTCACAATAGCTTAAGTCCAGAATGGAAAAATCTAGGTAGTCCAGAGGGAGAAAACTAGCATGATAAGTAACTGAGAGAGCTCTCAATGGTCCTAAACACTTGGAAGAAGGACTTTGATGACTGAGCTTCATAGTCTGAAGATACTAGAAAGCTGAATATACTTTCCATGAAGAGACATTAAGCACTAAACTTACTGATAGTCCTAGGAATGGCTAGCTGGTATACAACAACATTAAAACATCTCACAACTTGAAAGGGCCCAGTGAACCAAGGGCTGAATTTCCTAGACTCTGTCTGCAATAGCAGATTCTTGGTGGAGTACAAGACTTTCTGCCCTGGTTGGGATGAGAGTGCTGGTTGGTACATCCTGTTGTCCAGTTGGTGGTAGGTCTTCTGAAGTCTCAAAAAAGCATGGAAGCCTGATGACTTATAGATGTACTGAGAACAGTCCATGACAGCTTCTAAACCCTTGAAATGAAATGATTAACATAGTCCAAGACCATATCAGTTGTAATCTGTAGTGTCTCACCACCACAAAGACAAATTATGAATGCAGTCAGTTTAACTAATTGGAGGTTTTTCAGGGGAACAATGTGAGCAGCTGCTGTGGCTTATTACCCCATCCTGGGTTGTTCCCTGCCTTACGCCTGTATCCTCCGGGATAGGTTTCAGACCCCCTGCGACCCTGAATTGGATGGAACAATGTGTGCAGCTTTTGAAAATAGGGCTGGGCGATATTGCAAAATATTTTATCACAATATCGATATTTATCACAGTATAATTTGTGCGTCGTTAATTTCAGTATTTTCAATTATTTTCTTTGACTACATCACTGCTCATTTCAGGAGGTGGATTTCACATGGTTGATAGTGTTGCCATTCACCTGATATTGAAAAATAAAATGCCGAGTCCTGTTTTGACCCAATACGGGACGGGACAAGAAGTTGCAATACTAATTTCTGGTATCTGTGACTGGCATTCACTGCTTGCATTCTGTATGTCCTACTGGAAGGCAATGCTTCCAGTGATGAAATATGCAAAGTATTTCCAGTCTTAGTTGGCACAAGTTTTTGGCAGAGATTACATTATACAAAACCAATTTGTTGCGTGTCATAGGCTTCTTTAAATTGCAAAAGTACTGCCATGCCACTGGTGTCTTTTTACCTGGTTTATCCACAATATCTCCTTTTTAAAAAGATGTTGTGGCTGCTGACACCAACATTGAAGATCTCTGTCACACTCTTTTGATGTCTTTTCTCTCCCTTGACTCACATGTACAGCATAGCAGTATGTGGGTTGTTCCACTAACTCAATAAACCTTGCTGTGCATTTGTTGTGCATAGGTTGCCCATTCTCAATGCACTGTGCCTAGCAGCAGGCAAAGTTATTTTAGTCTTCGCTGACAAAATGCCGCTGCACATGTTCTTCCTAGCCTTTCTGAAATCGCTGTGGATTATTACTGTGTGAATTTCTCGTGGACTGAATTTTACTGTGGACTTTTGTTTTGGATTCCGCTGGATTATCCTTATTGGACGGATCACTTTGGACTTACCTGTTCACCCGGTGAGCTGACCTGTTGTTTTGAGTTTGTCATCTTTCTTCTGCCTGCCTGCCATATTGCATTCTCTTTTGTTCAATAAACGCCGTTTGTGTTTTTATAGCTGTGTCTGCGCTTGTGCTTCATTGCCAGTCCTGACAAGTAGTTACAGAGAAAGTGATTTCATGAAGCACTGGCCACACTAATGTTGAGGAATATTATATTGCACTAATTATCATTATTGATTTATTGTCCAGCCCTCCTGGAAAACCAAACCAATATAACCTGAACGATCATATTATCCTGTGATTTGGAGAACTGTCACAACGTCTACAGATATATGAGGGTGGAGGACTTTTGACAGGTTCAGATTACTATGACAACCATGAATTTCTTATCCTTCATCTAACAGAAACAATAAGGACTCTAGTATCACACTTACCCTTGGGTGTCCCACCAACTTGGAACAATGACCCCAATTACAGTACCTCTTAGCAGACTGATGATGGAAGGAACAACCATCTCCCAGGAATGTCGCCAGGAACAGCTTCAGGTAGTTGCACTGGCCCAATTCTATCTTTGAGAGACAGCCACACTGGAGCAACAATACGAGACAAGGGCGGGATGAAGTTAGGCTACTTAACTTTTTCTGAATTATTGACAAAAGAGCGCACTGGCCTTAGTATTCTTGGGCCCTGGGTGGTAAGAGAGGGCGAAACTGGAATAGTTAGTCCATACAATAAAGCACTGTCTCCACGCTTCCAAGGCTACATTGACAGCTATGGTTTAGAAAGCATAGCAAAGTCTGTTCAACTTTTGAAATACACTGAGAAAAGATGGTGCACAGGTGAACTTTGCCATCTCTGAGGGAACCCTGCAACTAATTCCTGTCTTAAAGGCATATGATGAAGAATCTGGGTTAGGATGGGTAAGAAAGGGAACTGAAGTAAATCAATGTGTCAGGTTATTGAAGTGGGCCTGTACCTCCATCAACCGATCTAAGAGGGAAACCCTTTTATCAGTGCTGAGATGGGCACAGCTACACAATTAAAGTTCTGCATAAAGAGTATGTAGAAATTTGCAAACCATATGACTCCCGTAACCAGTGGCGGAAACACTGCACACAAGGCCCCAGGGCAAAACACCGATCGGGCCCCCCCTGCACACACATGTACACATACGTATATGTGGCGGTGGTGAAACGAGTTTTAAAGTGTGGGTGCAAGAACACAAAAACCTTAACGAGAGAATTCGACTGTCTCTCACAAAAACTGTAAAGTTTTAATGGCTAAATTGCGTTTTCTACGCCTTTTCAGACAGGAGGAGATTTGTTTGGCTGTGCCTAGAAAACAACGTTGTTACCAGTGTGGAGACCGTCAGAGTTTTACCAAAGACAAAAATTCCACCTCCAGCTGCCTGCCCATCTC